GGGCCACCGACTTCGGCGGGGGCGCCCTCCCCAAACCTCAGTGTCTCACCAATAGTCCCATCCGAGTCACGGCACCAATTGTTATAAATTTTATTTATTAATTAACAATAGTTGAGAAAGCCAATCAAAAAATTTTTATTAATTGAAACAAGTAAAACAAAGAGGCAAATGCAGCGCTGGGCGACAGGGGAACTCCGTCCTTCCAACTGCCGCGCCGACTGGGGTTCCGGTCGGTCCTTTTAAGCCGCTCACGAACCTATCATTGCAATTTTCCGGAGTACTCTGCGCATGCTTTAAAGTTGTTGCCGGGGCATCTTCTGTTTCTCTTGGTTTCTGGAAAGTACCACTCAGGAGAGTACCACTCATACAAACGTATTAACCTCTACAAAAAGCTAACCACAAACAGGTGCGAGCCGTAACCTTTACAAAAAAGCTAACCACAAACATTGAACAAACAGACTTTAACGGAAAACATTTCCATTATAGTAAACACATCCTACTTAACAAGCAACATACTTTAATGAACAAACATATTTTATTACATAGGATCTAGAGAGGAATAGTGTTCAAAGTGTAAATTTGAGTAAAGAGTAATTATAGTATAGTGAAGTACTGGGAGATTAAAAGCCTTGAGAGGCCATGAGAAAACTGTTGAGAGATTTGAAGCCCTGAGAGGCCATGAGAAAACTGTTTTCTAGTAAAGCTCACAGAAACAGATAAAGAAGACTTTTTTTTTCTTTTTTTGCCTTTGAATAACTTATCCTTAAAAATGCTATCTCTAGACGCATGGCCCATACACACCTCAGAGTGATGTGAAAATGAGAAGAGTGAACTCTAATAATAGCATCTCTGGACAGCTAACATTAGGGCAATAGAAAACTATAACAAAAATAGTTTTCTTGTGAGAAACTCCATAAATTAACAGGAAGAAACTTCTGTTTCTCTATAAAGATTAGTAAAAAGACTAGCAAGAATTGAGACTGTTTTAACCATCAGAGTTCCAGAGTTTTTGTCTCTGTTGTCATGTGAACAAGAGAATAGTGAGTAGATAGAAGATGGAAAAGTTTTTCTAGAAGTTTATTCTGGTGTTCTTATTATTGTGGTTTGTCAATAAACTTTCTTTTTTTTTCCCCTTTTAAGTTGTATGCCTGTTTTGCTCTTATTCTAATCCATATCTCACAGCAAAAAGTAAGTAATTTTCTTAGTTAGTAGTTTAAAACCACGACACAGGTGTTTTAAACATTTCTCTTTTACACAAACCTCACATTTATCACTCACACATGCTTTAACCACCATCAATCCACACTCAGCCTGCCATTCTGGCTTGTCTCGCAAATAGAAAAACAAGTCAACATACGGAACTTCATCCCATTTTCCTTCTCGCTTACAAAACAACATCAACTGTAAAATAGTATTATATTGCAAAGATCCATTCTTTGGCCACTTTTCTCCACTATCCAGGACATATCCCGGCCACCATGTATTACAATAATCAATCAACTTAGCCTTGTGTAATTCTTCCCCAAAATTACCTTGTTTCCAATGTGCTAATAAGCACCCCAAAGGAGAAGTACTCGGTATGGGAGCACTGCTGCCCAAAATCTCTTTAAGCTTCTCCATATTATAACTATAATATACCACAAATGCCGAACCTGCGACGCTTTCGCAGTCGTCTTATGGACGGCGCCCGGGCAATACCAACAGGAATTCCTTTAGCCCAACCACGCGCAGCTTTCGCCGCGTCTAACTGGCAGGCACCAAAACCAAAGTGAAAGCACCTTACCTTTTCTCCCAGGGACGTTGTGAGCAGCGGAGATGGTCGCGGCCGATGGGCTCCCCGAGAATCCCTCGGTGCCGGCTGGAGCGTGATCGGGTCGCGAGTTCGCTCAGCAGCACTCACAAGGTTCCATCTGGGTCGCCAAAATGTTAGCGTTCAGGAACACACATAACCACAAATGGTTATATGAAGGTGCTTTATTTAAAGAGCTCTGGGTGTCAGGGGTACACATACCCAAATCTGACCCGACTTGGGTTTTCGAGTTGAACATATTTTATACTCTATCGTTATGCAACTTACATATTAATTATTAAACTTACATTGTTCTATTGTATACATTGTTTTTACCCAAGCATGAATTTCTTGTGATCCCCCTTAGCCCCCTAACATGGTTCCCCATGTTCTCTAAACAATAATTATATCTAATCACATCTAACAATTGTATCATTTATCATATACTGACTACACAAGTGCAGCTTGACCTGGTCTTTAGCAAGCACAAGGCCTAACATTTCCAGGGCCTGCTTTTCCCAGGGCTTTCCTAACCTCTTTCTAAGTCCCCGAATTTTCTAAGATTTTAAGGCCTTTTACTATCACTCCTGCCAGCCCTTCTGGGGGATGGGCTCACACTGGCACCTCCAGTCCTTTAGGACCTCCCCAGTGAGCCAGGACTGATGAGGAGAAATGATGGAGAGCAGCCTCATCCACCAGCTCCCTCATCCCCCTAGCATGGATCCCATCCAATCCCATCCACCTGTGAGCATCTGAATGGCTCAATAAGTCTCTGACTGCTTCCTCCTGGATTACAGGGGGCTGTTCTGCTCCCTGTCGCCATCTACCAGCTCAGAAGAACACTTGTCCTGAGGAAAACCTGTCTTGATGTTGAAAACTGAGGCAAAGAAGGGGTTGAGTACCTCAGCCTTTTCCTCATCTTTGGTAACCATATCCCCCCCAAAAAGGAATTGAGGTTGTCCATAGCCTTCCTTTTGCCATTAATGTATTTATAAAAACGTATTTATTATCCTTCACAGAAGCAGCCAGGTTAAGCTCTAATTGAGCTTTGACCTCTCTACTTTTTTCTCTGCATGATCTAAAGACATCCTTAAACATTTCCTGAGTTGCCTGTCCCTGTGTCCAAAAGATGATGCACACTCATCTTTTCCTTGAGTTCCTCCAAAAGCTCCCTGCCCAGCCAGGTTGGTCATTTTCCTCACCAGCTCATTTCTTGTCACCGAGGGACAGGCTGTTCCTGCTCCTTCAAGATTTCGTTCTTGAAGTGTGTCCATCCTTCCTGGAATCCTTTGTTTTAAAAAGATTTTGTTTCCCTTAAAAAAAAATCAGTACCTGATTTGGTACTCCCCAAATCTGCATCCTTAATTGGCTGAAGTCTGCTCTTTGTAAGTCCAGTGTAGGAGTTTTGTTGATGCCCCTCCTTCTTTCACAGAATATTTCAAAACTCGATGATTTCATGGTCACTGTACCCCAGCCAGCCTCCAACCACCACATCCCCCAGCAGCCCTTCTCTGTTTGTGAACAGCAGGAGACACAGCTTTCCTTGGCAGTGGCAAGAGAAGGAAACCTCCCCAGAGTGCAGCTTGGCAGGTTCAGCCTGGAGGGGAGGAGAAAGAAAAGTCCCTGCCAGAACAGAATTTTGGTGCACGAGGTGTCCCAGCGTGAGACTGGACCATGCCATGGCTGAGTGTGCCAGGAGCCGGCAGTCAGTGTGGCCCAGGGATGCTCCAAGGGACTTGGAGTTTTGCTTCTGACTCCTTGAGCAGCTTCTTCAACCTTCTCTCAGTGCCTGAGGGTCCTGGACTCAGCCCCAAATCCAGCCTGGGGTTCATTAAAATACAGAAAGCCTCGGGGGCTCTTTGTCTTCCTTCTATTGTCTTCAAGGCTTGTGCAGCTGCTTGGAGTCAGTTTGGAGTTCTGTTAAGGAGGAAGATTTGAAAATCTACCACATTTTTTTTGTTTTAGATCAAGGGCATATTTTTTTATTTTCTAGTTGAGAGAGAGGTGGCAGAAACATTCCCCAAGTGATCTTGATGCTGAATGTCGCCTTGGGAGGTCTGGTCACAGAGAAGAATCAGCCCCTTGTGGGCTGCCCCTGTTTGGAGAACCTGCTGCTCACACCGAGCCTCAGCATGTCTGACATTGCCCACCTGGGACTGACATCCCAAAAATTGAAAACATTTATCGATTTTTCTTTATAATTAACATATAATAAATTAATAAAATTATTTTTTAATTTTTTATAATAATATTATTCTGTATTTTTATAGTCTAATTTTTATATTTATATAAAACAATTGATACATTTTTAGGAACAAAAACCATTATTGGTCTTTGCTTCTAAGTACAATAATTCCCTTCATTAATTAATTGACCACTATTTCTCCCACTTTATGCTAATTATTCTTATTTTTAGTCCTTTGATCATCGCTTTTAGAATTTTCTCATACTGGGTAAAAGGGGCCACTTTGGGGTCCATGGAGACTTTTTCTGGGGAGCATTTGGGGCAGTTTTGGGTCTGGGGAGGGAATTTAGAGAGAACTTGGGGGTCTGGAGGACACTTGGGGAGACGGGTGGGCACTTGGAAAGGCACTTAGGGATTCTGTGGGACAATTCGGGGTCGGGGGGAGCACCTGGGGGCCCAGGGGGGCACTTGGAGGTCAGGGAGGGGAATCTGGGGGCCCTTCGGGGTCCAGGCGAGCATTTGGGGGCTGTAACGGAACTCTGGGCCGCGGGGGATGATGGGAGTTGTAGGCGCCGGTGTAATACGGTTTAATGGGGCCGCGGAGCATCACGGGAGTTGTAGACACAGCTCCAATGTGTTCTGGTGAGGCGCGGGGCATGACGGGAGATGGAGTCATGGCTAGAATAGCATTATATGGACGCCGCGGAGCATGATGGGAGCTGTAGTCCCGGAAGTGGCTCAGAAGGTGCATATGGCCGTGTGGGGAGGCACTTGGGGAACGCTCTTGCATCCCAGCCATGGCTGCAGGTCCTCGGGGCGAATGTATACGGCTCGGGAGCACTTGGGGGGAACCTGGGGAGCTCTAACCGGCGTGGGGCACAGCAGGAGGTTTGGGCGCGGAACTGTGTTGTGGGATGATGGGAGATGAATTCCCAGGAGTGGCTGGAACGGGCATCTGTGGGGTCGGGAGCATTCAGGGACACTTTGGGGGGGTCCTGAACAGGCGCTAAGGGGGCACTTGGGAATTCTGCAGGGTTTGGGGGAGACATATGGGACATATGGGGGGTGATACCGGGCTTCTGGGGAGCGTAGGGCATATTCCCAGTTCCTCACAACCTGGTCTCAATTTCCCCCTGCAGGCTCCTACTGACTGCCAGTATGATCCCAGTATGATCCCAGTATGATGTCAGTACACAGCCAGTACAATCTCAGCCACTGCCAGGATGATCCCAGTATAAACCAGTCCCTGTCTGTGCTGCCACTCCTGGGATGCCCCAGCCCTCTCTGCATTCCCCCTCCTGGATCTCCAAGGATCCTCTAGAGGAGCCCCAAGGGCTGGCAGTCCCCAGCCAGGGTCCCCAGCCAGCTCCAGGTTGGATCTGCAGCCTCCAATTTTCCCGGTTTCCCTCTCCTTTTCCCCGGGCCGGGTTCCCCCCGTCCCCAGCGGGTGGGAGCAGCCGAGAGCCCTGCACTGCCCATCCCGACCTGTCCCGGCTCCATCCCCGCTCCTGCCGTGGGCTGTGAGGGGTTTGGGAACGGGGCACCGAGGGTGTCACTGCTCCTGGGGGAGGAGGAGGAGGGATGGAAGAGGAGGGGGGAGGAGGAGGAGGGATGGAAGAGGAGGGATGAAGAAGGAGAATGAGAAGGGATGGAAGTAGCAGAAGAAGCTGGTGTTAGGGAGGAGAGGGAGGAAGATGTTGTAAATACTTTGCAAATCCCTTCATTCTTGTCCCCCATGGGGATGTGTCCGCCCTTCACAGAACACGGGCAGGAAGGGGTCTCAAAATATATGCAACATGGACCTAAGGTATTTTAGACAAAGAAGGCTCAGACTTACGAGGCGTGGTCCTGGGTTCATTGTATGTGCATCGCCCGGGGCAAGAAAGAGGCTGAGATTCCTCGGGTGCTGTCTCTTCAACTAGGGGGAGGGGGTGGCCAGGGGATACAGGGGGGTTACAGCCAAGGGGATAGGGAAAAGAAAAGGGAGGTTAGGTAGGGACTAACCTTGTACAAAACCAAGGGTGAGTTCTTCCCTTGGGACATACCATAGTATTTTAAATGAACTTCAACAGGAAGAGGAGGGACAAAGAAGGATCAGGGAAAGGAGAAGGAACCAAGAGGTCAAGAACTCCCTCAATTTACAGTCCCCCACCTGTGGGATCATCATCCCCCATCCCACAAGTGACCGGGGAGGGAGAGCTTGGCCCAGATATCCTGGGGAGACCCTGGGTTGGGTTTTTTGGGAGGGGATATTTGCGACTTAAGGACTGAAAAGCTGAGTGGAAAATTGACCCTTGGGGAGACACTGGGGAGTCCCAGCATCCCTAAGTGGGGAGATGGAAATGGGGGGAACTTTTTGGATTTCTGGTACTCCCAGCAGCCTGAGGAGGGCAGGGATTGAGTAGACAGGGGACCCCCAGTACAAGCATGACCCCCAGCAGCTGGGACAAGAGGGAACCCCTGAATACCAAAGAGGAGAGACCAGAGATGGGCAACTCCTGAGAGGCATTTTTAGGGCTGAATCTTGATGTTTTGGAGGTTTTTATGGATACAAGCTATGGATAGCTTGTGATTTCTAAAGATGGACTTGAGCAGGAGGAACCCCCTAATCCAATGTGCTCATGAATTGTATTTTTCCCCAAACTAGGATTTCCCATTCCCAAACCTTGGTCAGATGGAGAAGGCAGCTGTGAGGAAGCGGAAGATGCCCCAGGACACCCAGGCAGGTGAGAAGGAAGTCAGTGCCCCTTTCCCCCTCTCTCCTGCTCCATCTCCCAGCCCAGCATGGCCCCCAGCTGCAGGACAACCCCACTGCTGACGCCATCCTGCCGGGGACGCACTGGGGGGATCTCCTTCCCCTTCCCTCTGGCACAGAGGCAAATCCCATCCTTTTCTTGTCCTTCCTCCCCCAGACAAGGAGCTGAGGATGGAGACCAGGGAGGACAAATCCCCACGGCAGAACCTTGTGGAAGAGGCCATTTTGAGCAGCTCCATGGTGCAGGAATCCTGTGGGGAGGAAAAGCCCCAGAGATCCCGCAGGAGTAGGGGCTCCTCACTCAGGCCTGGGTGCTCTGAGGAGGAAAGACCCACCCTGTGCCGGGAAGGCGGTCGGAGATTCAGCCGGGGCTCTGAGCTGGTGGTCCATGAGCAACTTCAGGATGGGAAGAAGCCCTACAAGTGCTTGGAGTGTGGGAAGAGCTTCAGCTGGAGCAGCAAACTGATTTGCCACCAGATGACCCACACTGGGAAATGGGCCTACGAGTGTAGGGAATGTGGGAAGGGCTTCAGCTGCAGCTCCGAACTCATCCGTCACCAGCACATCCACACTGGGGAACGGCCCTACGAGTGCTCCGAGTGCGGGAAGAGGTTTCAGACCAGCTCAAATCTCCTCATGCACCAGCGGATTCACACGGAGAGGCCCTTCCGTTGCCCCAGCTGTGGGGAGGGCTTCAAGCAAAACTCCATCCTTGTCATGCACCGGCGCATCCACACTGGGGAGAGGCCCTACAAGTGTGGGGAATGTGGGAAGGGCTTCAGCCAGAGCTTCAGCCTCACTGCCCACAAATGCATCCACACTGGGGAGAGACCCTATGGGTGTCCTCAGTGTGGGAAGAGCTTCTCTGGGAGCTCTCACTTGGCCAGACACCAATGGAGGCACCACTAAGGGAAGCCCTGCCAGTGCCCCAAGTGCAGGAAGAGCTTCATGCGCCACTCCAGCTCCATCCCCAATCAGAAGACCCACGTTGAGCAGAGCCCTGACAACCCCTGTTTCCAGTGATCTGCATTGGGAAGACATTGGGCTGGTGGTGCTTTTGTTTCAGTCCTAATTTTCTTTTAATTCATCTTCATCCCTTTAAAATAGACAAAATTGGGATAAAAACAAACAAATTCATCCAAGGCCTTTAAAGCCTTTCTTTTTACTAGAGCTTCAAGGGAAACTGGGATTCAAGGAGATACTTGGGAGGATTTGGGGTTTGTGGGGGTATTTGGTGTAGTTGTCTCCATTTCTTGGCACTCATAGAGATGAGAGGCTTCAATGTCACCTCAAAACCATTCAGTGCCACTGAATGCTACTCAATCCCACCCCAAAATTATTCAATTCCACAGCCCCTCAGGGTGTGATGCCTTAAGTTCTAGCTTTCATATTTTTCATATTCTGCACTGCCTAGGTTTGTAGTTTTGAACTTCATATTAATTGTTAGTGTCAGGAAAATTAATCCATAAACACCAGAGGTTTATGTCCAAAAAGGAGACTGGGGAGTCCTTTTACTTTATTCAAATAAAGGGAGAGGCCATGGGGCATTCCCCTGGGGAATTTTTGGAGGGCGCAGCCTCCCTTTTATCCTAATTCCCGGCCGCTTGTCCCTTCTCCGTTTCCCCATAGGCTGAGGGACTTGAGAGGTACAGGCTTCCCGGAACATCTGATGTCTAGGATACCATCCCCCCCCAATGCATAATCCTCTTCTTAATTCTTAACCATTTTGGAATTTTATGATGTTTCCCCAGTGTTTCTTTCGTATTTCAGTTGAATCCATCCCATTGTTTCTGTTATCTCTCAGTGATAGTTTCATGTTATCAGCAGACCCACAGCTTGTTTGTAAAGATAAATGTTGCACTATTGGGAACAGCAAGAAACATGACCCAGACTCTCTTGTGAGTTGAACAGGAAAGCCTAAGGTGTATTACCTCAGATCTTCTTTTATAGACTGATACGTGAAAGTACAGAAAGGTAAAACTCTTACTGGTTAGTAAACTGACACATCACCATCATTGGTCATTGGGGTACACCACCCCTCGACCTTCTTTTGCAAGAAAGCAAGAAACTGACAAACAGCACCTGCAAGGCTGTCTTCTACCTTTAAGGATTGTTTTAATTCTTCCTTATGATTTCCCAGGCAAGACTGAGAAAATTATGCAGCCTGCTTTTCCACAGGCACCGTGCTCCCTGCTTTTGCTCATATTTAGCATCCATAGGGTTCTTTTCCCCAGGACTGAGATTGGCAAGAGAGAGGCTGTTTTCTCATGTTCGGACTTGGTTGTTTATTCTTTCCTTATCTATATTACATATATACAGAGTACAAGGAGCTACACAGAGAGGTGCAAAATGGAGAACAAAGAATCTCTTCAAGGTCTTTTCTATGTCTATTTGTCCAATAATCAAATGCCAAGCAAGTTATTTTTCCTAGTGACCCAATGACTTGACACCTGTGTACTGCTCTGTGGCATTTTCTATCCAATCCCTCATTATTGTCCAAAAACCCTTAAAAGAAGAAGATGAAGGAAGGAGAAAGGGACAATTCCCTAAGTTCTCCATGTTGTCTCTTATTTTCTAAAATAGCTTAAACCTTAAACTCTCTCACCCAGTGACTTAAGAAAACTCTAACTTACACACTCATCTTCCCACTTTCTCTACTTAACTTTAAAAGTTATCTCCATGGTGTTGTTTTAAATTCAGTGCTCTCTTGGGTGTCAGAGCCAGGCACTACAGATAAGGGCACATTTTAGGTACCTCTGACCCCAAGAGTGGAGAGAGTGCCAAAACCTACCTTTAGAGGAGACTCCCCTTTCAAGACATTTCCTCCTAACTTGTCTCAAAGCGAGACAGGGCTGCAGTCCTCTAAAGACAGGCTGCTTTAGTTGGGAAGCAAGGGCCCTCTCTCCTCTGTCTTCACATAGAAGCTGCTACCAAAAATCACGCTGTCCTAAATCCACACACACAGTATTGTGGCACTGACCCACCAAGCTCTAGGGTTATTCCTTGTGCTGATAAATTTGAAGTTAGTAAAACTTTCTGCATTCAAGGTGCCTAGAATCTGCAACCCCAGTGGGGTGTAAAGTAGGACATTTCCCAAGATGAGACAGTTGTTGCCACATTCTGGTAGCCCACAGATGCAGGGATGCTGTTTCATGACCTTAGGCTTTCCATCCCTTTGGGCATCCCTCTAGGATAATGTTCCCTATCCTGGGGTTTAAGGGTTGGCCCATATAAAGCTCGAGAGACCCCATCAGGACACTAGTTTTCATTCCTTCTCCTTTAAGCAGATTGCATGCTTGTCCTAAAGTAGTCCATCATTTGACCACAGGTGGCCAAGCAGCATCATTAGTATATCAAACTGAGTTGCTCCACCTGTTCTACAGCGGTTACAAATGCTTGACATTGTAACATCATACCAGCTTGTAGCTCCTCTATTTTTTCATCACTTCACCTGTTTGTCAAACTCTGCATTCTCTGGAACAGCAATTTTGTATTCAAATAATAGGCAACCAGCCATCTGACCAGCAGGAGTCAGCCACTCTTCAGAGTGTCTCTGAGGAGTTTGTATAAATTCTCTGCAGTATTTCAACACCCCCACAAGGTCCTTGGCCTCCCATGCTTCAGGCCCAATACCTGTCCAGGTTTCTAGCTAATGCCATAATGTGCTCCAGCCTGGAGCTTTCTGCATCCAGCCTGGTCGCTCCACTGACAAAGCCACTGCCCAAGGCTCTTTTTCACAAAGCATTGTTACCAGTGCACTCACACAAGGACACCATAAGGACCACAAAAGAAGTGAGGGCAAGAACTCTGTCCAATGAAATTGCAACCACATGACCCACTGACCACGGAACAGACTGTCCAGGGGCAGCTGTGTGCCTCACTGCTCTTGGCACACACACCCACAGCACTGCTTTCTTGGTGCAGCTGTGCGCCCGCACTCAGGGTGCAACCATATGCTCTGCTGCCCAAACCCTGTCCCTGTTCTCTTACCCACACTCAAACACGTGTCCATTTTTCACTCACAAATGCTCAAAACACCATCGGTTTTTGTGCTCTGGGCATCCCATCCTCATTGCCAATAACGCCATGGGTTCTGGAAGATGCCCATGCACAAAATTGCAAAGCAAGTCTTATTTTATTAGCTGCTGTTGCAAATAATACATACCAACTCCTGGATTGGTGAAAAGCCACTGAGCAGCAGCAGCAGATGGAGCATGGTGCTCCAGTGGGAGGGGCAGGCAGGCCGTGCACCTTCAGGGCATCCCCTGCATCAAAAAGGCGTGCATTTTGTCCTTCTTGCCTCTCCACTGCAGAGCCAAGCCTCCTATCTTCTCCACTGGAGTGGAATTTTCCCACTTACGATGTCAATTTACCCTTGGCCAGTACATGAAGTAAGGTCACCATGCCCATAACAGCCTTGTTCTTACTGTTCCTCTTTCACAGGTTAACTTCCTATCAATTGATTAATCCATTGTTCCTCTTAAGGGTCAAATTCCCAGCAATTAACCCATAAAATTTCCTTCATTGTCTGTTCTTCATTATCCTGTTGATGTGCACAAGAGGACCAAATATGGCAGGGCCTTAGACACAACTTTGGTCCCTGACACACACAGGCTCCTTGTATCACTACTGGCCTTCAGTGAGACCTTTAACTCCACAATGCTGTGGAACTGGACCTTCAGCACAGGGACCTTTCCAGCCTGATCTGCACTCGTTCTTCTGCGTCTCTGCACAAAACACGGTGCAGAAGAGAATGGCAGGAGGGGCCTTGGTGTCACAGCGTTCTGGATTTGTGGCACTTCAGCTCCACACAGGGGCAGGTAAAGTGAAAAACTCAAACTGTTTATTAATGGAAGGAGAAGCAAAGGGAAGAGCTGGAAAGGAAAAGAAGGGGATGGGCATGGTATGAGGGCTGGAGGTAAGGAGCTGTCAAAAGGGAGGAAGAGTAGAGGGAAGAGTAGAAAAAAAGGGGATGGGCACAGTCTGAGGGCTAGAGGCCAGGACAATCTACAGGCAGGGAGAGGGCTGAAGCCCCATGAGCATCCCACAGGCTCTGCTGTGCCAGTCGTCAGCTGTGCCTGGTTCTCCACCGGCACTGGAAGGTGGTGTCTTCTTCAGTGTCTCCTGGTGCTGTTCTTGGGACACTCGTTCACTGGCAAGCTGGAATATTCAGGTTACAGTGGGATGGACTGGTGTCTTTCTCAGGGCTTGAATGGCTGAAACAGAGAAGAAGAGAGCCACAGTCAGGGCATGCATCTGCAGGGATCCTAGGAGACATTCCTGCCAAGGACATTCCACCTGGCTCTTGCAATGGCCACAAGAGAGGACCGGACAACAGGATCAGCCAGAAGGTGCTGGCCACAGATCCCACCCATGTCCCTGAAATCT